GATCGTAGGATTGGAGCACAAACCAGAGACTCTATCGAATAGTATGATGTTGAGTTAAAAATGAACAATTTATTTGATCCATCACGCATCAAGTTGAAACAATAACTAAGAAAAAATTATATTTTGCCTTAAAATCTAAATTCAAACACGCATGTATAATTTTGATACCATAAAAACAAGTGAATGGCAAAGAAACAAAGTTAGAACAACCTCACTTCCATCAACATGTCGTAAACCATTAACATAATTTCATATGGAGATGCTATCATCTCTACTCTTTGGTGGATTGTGATTTATGAATGAAAAAGGGGAAGAGATTTGAAAAATTAAGGCCGAGATTTAGGTGACATCAAGGATTGGATAGTGTTGAAGTGGCCTGCTAGCACGAATTGGGAAGTGAGTTGGGTTTGCATTCGGGTCCAATGTACCACAGTCTGGACTGGACCATACCAAAAGAATAAAACATTCCACAATACAAACCACAAACCAAACCAAAGTATTCTTAAAGTCTAAAGTGTGGGATAAACTATGTGATATAATTTGATTCATTGTTTTCTAACTAATTTCCTACCGGCACTACTATCCCAACTGTGACCAAGTGCAACTACAAACGGGTGTAGTATAGTGGAAGTGAACTTTAATTATCAACCTGAACAACAAATGTACTATTACTTCGTGACCTAGCTTGTTATCTAGTTAATTCAAATTTTGATTTAACAAATCGACTACAAAAACGAAGAAAAGAAAGTTTGGTTGAAAACTATAGTGAGAAAGTCCCTCGAGTATTGTTTCCCTCTAGTTGCAAAATAGACGAACGAATGATGATCCAAGTTTGTCGACTCATGATTTACACCGTCGAGAATCCTATTCCCGCTTGAGCTCCTTTTCGAGTTACTTAAACTCACGTAGAATGGACTATCTGAAGGGAGAGTTGATTCGTCATGTAGTGTATACCAAATTTTCCTGGTCATATGATCGTATTTCCTCGGGCCTCTCGTAGAACCCATACTTCGGAAGTGAGGTACTATTCTTTTGAAGAAGAGGCTGGTTTCGGGGGTCGAGGTTCCTCCGGTTTTGTAGAACTTAGGAGTTTGAAAAGCTACTAGAGAAGTAAGAGAGCAGGGAAAGAAGATGTTGCATAGGCGTTGCTCCCCTAGGTTTCCTAACAATGTGCCCTCGATGATCGAAGCATGCATGCTGTCGATTTCTTCTTTCATTAGATCCTACTTTGTGTCAAATCATTTACCCTAACTAATGGGGGACAAGGTCCCTTTAAATTTTTTGATTTTCGGATTTCGAGTCTTGCACCTCAAAGGAGTGCATGATCGACTAAGCATTCATTTGAATCAACAAATAATAAAATAGAGGAAATCAAGCATTACACATGAAAATCAAACAATTGTATTGACCAAATCATCGAGTTTACATGACTATTCTCTTTTGCGTTTGGTTTTCACTTCTTGCTCAATCAACTTGGGCTCGATGTCTCCTACAATTTTCAAGTGGCCCACTACGCTGCTTGGCCCTGAAAATGTACAAAATGCTACCCAAAAATGCATCAATTGTATAAAAGCAATCCCAGGGTTTATAGAACGCATTTGAAGCAATAACAGTAATAATCCAATACATTATGATGATAATGATGGGAAATGTATGCCCTTTTGTTCACAATATGACGGTTTAAAATAGATACTTTCACATGTCATCAAGAGTTTCCACACCTGATTTCACGCTCGATCCACGACCCAAAATGAAGAACGAGGTAATTTCTCTAATCAACCTAATTGGATATTTTTTACTATAGTTTAATAGACATAATTGAAAGGATTTGATCAATAATCAATACAACTCATGAAATTCCTCAACTGTACATATAATCAAGATTCAATCAAACAAGGAAATAAATCATTCATCTAATTGAACACATACAACCAGAATTCCACCCATGTGACGATAGAAAGTTTAGCTCATGGTGAGAGAGAGAGAGAGAGAGAGAGAGAAATACACCAAATCCATAGAAGAAAACATCATAGAGGAGTGGGTTCTTGCTCTTGCACTTGAACCTTCAACCTTTGGTGATAAATTTGAACTCCAATGGTGATTTGAAACAACAATTATCCACCTAGGGATCTCCTTCATCACTTTCTCTATCTATTCAACAAATGCCCTTTCTCACTCTAGACTCCTCACTTCAAAATAGTATTTATGCTCCTTTATATAGTTAGAAAATGCAAAGTTCACGGTCAGTCACCCATCACAGCCAAACCATAAGGTCGACTGAGTTTGCACCTATCACTTACATAATTCACGGTTTTGGTGCAATTCTCACGATTTGCAGCCGTGAGATTTGCTTGCGCCAACGAGATGCAAGAGGCCCTCTAGAAATGTGCAATCTTCACTATTTCAGTGTAATTGTCATGGTTGGCAAACCATGGCATCTTTAAATGCCCGCTAGATGCATCTAGCCTCTTGGAACTTGTGTAATCCTCACAGTTTCCGTGCAAATGTCATGGTCTGGCTATGAGAATTTGCTCTGGACTATGAGCTTTGACACTTTCCTTCATTTTGTCCCCTTTTGACTCATTTTTGTCAGACTTTCGTTTCTTTTGCCAATTTTCACCTGCTAGGACCTGAAATACACTCAAACATATACAAGCAAGGGTAAAACGTCCACAAGGAGGATGAATCTCAAGTCAAACGATCAAGAATAAGGTGTATAAAGAGGTATAACTTGCTATAGATTGTTTGTAGTTGGTAAAGTAGCAACTTTTGAGGTTAACCAGAGATAAGAAATCTCACCTCCAATGTCATGGTCATCTGCACACATTCATCACTCATCTTCACTTCAGCGAGGGTATGGAGTCGACAATGATGAAGGTGGAAAGGAGAGAGAGAGAGAGAGAGAGAGAGAGAGAGAGAGAGAGAGAGAGAGAGAGAGAGAGAGACTATAGAAAAGGGCTCATAATCCTTGTCAAGGAGAGGGAGGAATATTTAAGGCAACACATTTTAGGTTGTCGATACAAAATTTTGTAGCCAAATTTCGCTCGCACTTCAAATTTCAGCTCTCACCGTTTCCAAAATTTTCGACAACCACTATTATCCACTGCTGATGTCGAAATTTCAAAGATTCAAAGAGGAGGTCGGCGCAACCGAGCTGGCCCTATGGGGTAAGCAGAGAAGCTTGTCCCGAGACCCACTGTGTTAGTTGCTTTTCAGAAGCTCTAACCCACAACACTAACTTCCATCCCGCGTCGATCTAGGCCGTCCACCGTCTGCAGGAGGCATCTGGGCCGTCTGTAGTATGTCCTCCCGACCCCACGTATGAGGATAACCAAATTGAAAATTAACACCTCTACGATATTGTAGGCCGGTTGCTGCAATGAAGCACTCGTCGCCATCACAACCATCGAAATTAATTGCGTGAAACTGTACGATCTCCATGATTTCCCCCGACCCCACTGCTCTAGTGTTGTAGAATGAGTTAAGTAGGGCCTATCCGATTGAGTATGTCAAACAATTTTGTCACTAAATACTCGTACAAAATGAGATTTGACTTCCAATTCTAATTTGAGGCCAGACCGATTAAGTTACCTATCTTATCTTTCTAATGGCCAATACTATGACGCCGCTATCAAAAGTGCGGCAAGGTACCGCCTATTTTCTATTGGTCCACGTATTGAATGATTTCATGAGGTGGAGTGCGTGGGTTTAATAGATTGCAACAAAACCTGACCGCTGAATAGCAAAAGCCGAATCATGACACTGTGGTGGTTTTTGCTTTTGTGTTTTCTGATTTCTCAGTATTGATTCCTTTAAAATTCAATCGACTTTTTACTTAATTTGTATTTTTTCTTCTTACTTTAAATTTCTTCAAGAACGAAAAAAAAACCCCAGAAGCATTCTAACATCTTCCTCGCTTCTCCGTCTCCGTCGGACTGTCAAAAGCAGTTCCTGCGAACTTCTCTGTCACAAATCCGATCTCCTTCACCGTCTCTTCCATTCGCCTCCACTAGACTAAATGTCCTCACCTCCGCTCAAGGAAGAGCAGGTAGCACACTCTATTCTATCTCCCCCACCGTGATCCGCCAGAAGACAAAAGATAGAGACAAAAAGTGGAAAGTTTTTGGCAAGGGTGAGGAAACTGGGACTGGCACCGGATGAAGCGGACTCTAGCTCTTTGGCTTTGAGTTTATCCATCCCCAGTCTCTATCTAGACAAAATCCTCCTCCATTACTTATTACTTCTGTTTATTTTTTTGTTTCCTTGCTTTCTATTTGTTCCATCAATATTAGTAATTGCTCCAAGCAGATTGGACATCCTTTTAGATTGGAACTCCAAAAACCGTACAATTTAACCGCAAACATGGCAAATTAATATCAGGATTTAGAACCTTAGCCCTGGATCTCCCAGAAACAGCCAGAACAGAGTACTTGGACCAAGAATCAAACACCCCAAAAGGCATTCCACTAATTGGATAGCTCTGTATAATCCTCTAGCTACTCAATCCATGACAATGACATAATCAGACCTGTATATAAAGCACATGGCTCACCATTTGGTTAACATATAATTGATATCGATATGCAGGGTCTTAATTTGATGCATTGGTTCTTGTATAAGCTTTTATGGGTCTGTGAGTGAGGGTGGTGCGACGTTGTTCGACGGAGATAGAAAATCCAAAGAGGGACGGTGAAGGAGCCAATAGAGGCGTATGGTAGTAGAGCAGATCGTCGATGGAAAACTCACCGGAAAGTTCAAAGGGAGGGGGAGCGATAAAGACTATGCTTGTTCATGGTAATGGGGTTTTTCTTGGAGAAAAACCGAATTAAATGAAAAGTTAATTGGATTTTTAGGAATTAATAACAAAAAAGAAAAATGACAAAGGCAATATTTCGGTTTGTGTAATTGTGCTGCGATTTATTAAACTCACACACTGTCACCTGACCAACTCATAGAACACGTGGACCAATAAAAAACAGTTCCACACTTTTAATAGCGGACAATAGTATTGGCCTTTATAATCGGAGCACAGCCCAAAAACTATTTATACACGGATCCACATACATTTGAAATATGCTATTCAATTGGTGGGCCTACTAGCTGACCATCGTTTAGGCCCAAACAAGCTTATTAACGAATTACCACGAATACTTGTTTTCCCACTCTCAGTCGCAATTGCTTGCTTCTCTCTGAAAATGTCAGCAGCTAAGCCGGGTAGTTCTCCCGCCACCCGGTTCCTGCGATAACGATTCACTTTCCCGTTCAAGTTTCACCGTCGAATCGTTTTCAGTCGGAAGCCTTGACGGAGAGCAAAATTTGTACCAAAAACCGAAGAAAAAACTGTACTGTTTCTTACATTCCATTTACACACGAACAAATTACCGAAAAATTCCCGGTCACCCTTTCTCTCTCTTCGTGTTCTGCAGTCCCGTCCACAGTCCCGCTTATTAGTTATTCCTTCTAGCTCACTGACTCTAAGAGTGAAGATTAGAAAATGATGGAAACTGGGCAAGTTATTGCGATCCCCAAGACACCACGGACGGCCTTTGATCATCGTCGGCTCCAATTTCAGAACAAAATCTTGCCATTGCTGGTGGTCCTGAGCTTCATCACAAGTTCTTCGCGTTGCGCTTCAACCTCTGCATATTTCAGGCTCATTTCTAAGTACCTCTCGCGGATGTCTCTCAGCTCTCTTTCCAGCGACGAATCTGCGCAATCCGTCCTTTCCTTGTGCAGCGATTCCAGGTTCGACAGTGGCTTCCTTGGAGAATCGTTTATTTTCATCTTTTTGCTTGAATCCGACGTGAATCTGCACATTCATGTATTGTTCGTTCATGTATGGAACCCTTACAAATTCGAAGCTTGTAATCGAATAAACCCTAGTGGTTTGACACGATTAACCAAACAAGCTGCAATTCTCTTTGTACAGATTGGAATTCTGTTTATTACCTATTTGTAAGTTTTACCTTTTGCTGTGAACTTTTAGTGACGATTTTAAACTCCTAGCCTTGGATAGTTCCTCCTCAAACGACCCAGCGATTGAGGCAGTATGTTCACTGTTGTTCTCTAGGATTTTGCCTTCAATTTCGTTCTGTTCAGGACCAAAAAATGACAGAAGCAAGGTCAAAATCCATGTGGCAGGGTGTTATCAAAATGGCTAAAAAATGGGGATTTAAAGGGATGTGTGTTAGAGAGAGAGAGAGAGAGAGAGTTGAGGATACCTCTTTTTGATCCTTCTGGTCAGAAAAATCCATGCTGCTAGACTGGTTTTGGCTCAACAGTTCTTCCTGCATCATTACCAGCTCTTCCTCGAGTGACCGAGCTCGTGCTAGATAGTCTTCCTTCTCGTCTTCGAGCTCCTGTATCCTCTTCTGGAGATTCTTGTTGGCGTTCCTGATCTTGCCAAGCTCGTTGCTGAGGTCTTTGTCTCGTTCACATAATGCTTCTTTTGTCATGAGATCCCTCTCCATAATCTTCAGTTTCTCTTCCAGGAGTACTTTGTTCCTCTTCTGATCCTCTAGTTCAGAGACAAGCTTCTGCAAGGAAGCTATTTGATCACTAAGTGAACCCCTCTCCACTTCTAGCTGTTGGCATTCTTCAGTTATTAAATGCAATGAAGTCTTAAGCTTTTCTTTCTCGGACTTGGTTGCACTCAGTTCACTTCTCAATTCCAACACTTCTTCGTATGCAGGCCCCACTTTCAGCAACTGAGCCTTCAATTTCACGGCTTCTTCTTTCAGAACTTGGCGCTCATACTCAGAAACCGTAAGCTTTAGTTCAAGATCATTGATTTTGGTCCTGAATTTTTCTTCGAATGACTTGTACTCTTCCAACAGGTGTAACATTCTTCTGTTGTCAGCTTCCAGCCTTTTTTGGTTTTCCTTGAAAGCAGTAAGCTCATCCATCAAGCTCCTAGTGTCCATATTGCCTTCCATCTCATAAATATTAATGGGATTAGCTTTTTCTTGCAGCTCAGGAGAGGCCACTATCTGCTTTTCCTCTTGAGCAGCAGAAAGTTGTTCGGTGAGAGCTTCTATTTGCTGTTGAAGATTTTCAAATTCCGTGATTTCCTGTGAGTGCAACTCACTTAGCATCCGGAGTTTTTCTATCTGTTCCTCATATTTATCATGCAGTTGATCCAATTCTGAAGTTAGATCCTCCACCTTAGAGGCGCTTGCTTGCTCAAGTGAAACGATTTTGTCTTCCAAGACCATTACTCTCTCGGAGAACTCAACAAGGCTTGATTGAGTACCATTCAACTTTTCCTGCACGTGGCTGCAATGGTTTTGTAGATCCATGTTCTTCTCTTGCAACTCTTCATTCGCTTTAAGTGATGCGCTTTGTTCTTCTGTCAAGCCCTCTGTTTTGGCTTGTAACTCTTTATTCACATCTTTCAAATGTTCAATCTCCTCTTGAGCTATCAACCATTCATTATTGACATGTAGTAACTGACCATTCATGTTCATTCTTTCAGCCTCGATTTCATTTCTCAACTTGGCAACCTCATCTTGCAAAGTTGCGGCACCGGCCTTGGAGTTCTCGAGGTCTAATTGTATCGATTCCCTGTCAATTTTCAAAAGCCCAATTTTAGCTTCCAAATCAAATATGCAGGACGACAAGCCTTGAGTCTCTTGCTTGTCACTTTCCAAATTGGACGATCTTTCAAGAACCTCCTTGGAAGTAGCATGTGGGTCAAAGCTACTTAGCAAAACATGTATGAGATCTTTTGCATCACCATTCTCTCTCACGATTGTATCCATGTATTGCTCCAGCTGACACTTTTCCTTCTCAAGAGCCAAGAGTTCAGATTCTGATTCTCTGCTGCACATTTGAAGGTTGCCAATTTCTTCTTCTTTTATCTGTAGCATAGACTCCAGTCCCTTTATCTCAGCCATTTTTTCACCAACATCTCTTGTATGCTCCAAGGCTTTAACTCTCATATTCTCTTTTGTACTTTCCAACTCTTGGCTCAGGTCATTATATCTGTTTAACGCCTCCCTCAGCTCTTTCTCCTTCTCTTCAATTATTTCCATCAGCTCCTCACTTTTACTCGCCTCAGACCTACAGTAGAAAAGCAATAGTTGTGTTAGAAAAAGCAACATGATTTCAACAGTTTTATATGTAAGAACCAAGATAAACACACCTTAGTTGTGTCTCTAAGCCAGAAAAGCATGTAGAAAGCTCTTGCTTTTCTCGCTTTAGCTCTGACAACTGGAGCTCTAATTCTTGCTGCTTGTATTCTAGATCTGAATATTTTGTCTCGAGAGCGTTATTAGAAGCGACATGAGAATCCAAACTGCTTCTAAGCATCATGTTGTCATTCTCCAGGTCATTCAATCTCCCTGCAGCAGCAGCATTTTCTCCCATCACTGTATCCATATTCTGTTGTAGCTGATATTTTTCCTGCTCCAGTTCAACAAGTTTGGCTTCTGATTCTCTTTTGTCCCTTTGCAGCTGTCCGACCTCTTCTTCTTTTGCATGCAAACAGGCATCAAGTATCTCTATCTCAGCTTTCCTGTCACTAAGTTCTGTTTTCAGTTCCGCAACTTCTGCTTCAAGCTCCGTTCTCATTCTCTCAACTTTCTCAAGCGAAGCGGTGTAGTCACCATCAAGCTGCATCAACAGCTTTTTGTTGTTCTCTTCAACATATTTAATCTGAGATTCATGGTCACTGGCCTCAGATCTGTCAAAATAAATAACACCGAATATAAAGACTTAGAAATCTTACATAAGGATTTCGAGATACCAAACGAGGAAGTGTTCATGCAATAGTTGTACCTTAGCTGAGTTTCCAAGTCGGTTATGCGCATCAACAACTCCTTATTGTCTTGGTCGGTTTCTGACAATTGTTGCTTCAGGTCATGCTTCTGTTCTTCCAGCTCGGATGACTTCTTTTCCAGGATTTGATTGGTAGCAACACGGGACTCAACACTAGTTCTAAGCATGGTCAACTCTGATTGTAGCTCATTGGAGTGCCTTGTGGCGATATCATTCTCTGTCATGATTGCTTCCATCCTCTGCTCTAGCTGGTCCTTTTCCTCCTGAATAACAGAAAGCTTGGCTTCCAATTCACCTTTCCATATCTGTAGATTTCTAATCTCCTCTTCATCACTCTTCAAGGTAGTCTCCATGCATTTTATCTCGGTCTTACTTTCATCCAGTTGCTTTAAGAGGTCATTGAGTTTTACTTCCAACTCAAGTTTCAGCCTTTCAAGCTCTTGAGCTGAAGTAATATAATTGCTTTCACATAGAATTTTGTTCTTTAGTTCTTGTTCAAGATCAGACATCTGAGATTCATGATCACTTGCTTCAGATCTGCAACTTGACAATAAATGGAAAATGTGAAACAAGTTCTCTTGCGGCGAGAATACAAATGCAGCAATTTAAGTTCTCCTAAAAAGAACTAACATTAAAAGTACCTTAAGCGAGTTTCCATCTCAACAATGTGTGTTGATAGATCTTCCTTTTCCTGTATCAGCTCAGACAAACACATTTCCAATTCCTGCTTACTGCGTTCCAGCTGCAACGATTTTCTTTCTAGATTCTTATTGACAGAGACATGAGTATCAACGGTGGTACTTATCATTGTTAAATCATTCTGCAAGTCATTTAAGCACCTTGTAGCTATCTCATTTTCTCTTGTAACTGTTTCTAGGTCTTGCTCCAGCTGGCCTTTCTCCTTTTCAAGAATGGAAAGGTTGTCTTCAGCTACACTTTTGTACTTCTGAAGATCCGCAACTTCCACTGTTTTTATGGCCAACTCTGTCTCAAGTCTTCTGCCCTCTGCTCTTTCTTTATCGAGTTTGTCAGCAAGCTCTCTGACTCTGCCTTCAAGTCCCAATTTCAGACTCTCAAGATCATTTTCAGTCTCTACATTCAGCTTCAAATGTTCCTCTAAATCATGCACTGGGGATCCATCTTCCATCTTCTGCTTCCCTTCCTGCAATTGCAGTTGTAGCTCTTGCACTTTGTTCAACAAATCTTTTTCAGATTCCTGTAGTTTTAGGATTTGATCTTTCAAGTTCCCATTAGTCACCGAGCTTTCTTGTACCGCCTCTTCCAGCTCTCCAAACCTTGTTTCCATATCATACATTCTCTCAATCTCAACCTTCTGCTTCTCCAGTGTCTCTTCCAAGTCCTGAAGAACAGCAACCAGCTCAATGTTGGACTCTTGGCTCCTCTTTAACTGCATTGTCAGATTGCCATTGGCTTGCTTTTGAAACTTTATCTCCTTCTCCAATTCCTTCACCAATTGCAATGTAACCTCCCTTGAATCATCTAAAGGCGGTGGCTTTTGCTTTGCCTTCATCAGCATTTGTTGCAGCAACTCAACTTCCTTCCTCAATCCATTGCGCTCTGCACAAGCTTCTGAAAATTCCATGTCAAGATTGGCTTGGTTCCTTGAGAGCTCCACGTGTTCCTTCTTTAGAAAGTCCATCTCTAGCATCAGCTTCCTGGCTGTCCTCTCCCACATCTTGGCTTGCCTTCGAAGGTCTTCGATTGTTTCCTCTGCTGCCTCTAGTAGGGTCTGTGAAGAATCCATGATTCTTAGGGCACCGTTTTGGGTATCCCTATTTTCTGAATGTGAAAGTCTGTTGGAGATAATGGCAAACTCTTGCTGGATGTCCCTGGAAAGGCTTCTTGAATCTGGAATTTTGTAAGCGATTCTGGAAGCACCATTTCCAGTGCTGGCTGTGCCTCTTCTTCTCTCTAAGCTCAGATTTGAAGGGAATGGACCAGGCCTTGCTATTGCTATTTCCCCAGAGTCATCACTGCGAGGTGAGTTTGTAGTGGATGAACTAGCCTGTATGAAAAATGGGAATCAGTGTCACCTGGTTGCTATCATCAGGTGAAAAAAAAGGAAGTAGGCAACAATATGTTTTAAGTATGCAGATTGGTCATAACTCATGACGAATGGCTGGTTATACCAGATCAAGCATTTGTAAGTCGCATGTTATGATGGATTGTGTGTGGTATGACATGACGGGTTGGGTGATTATAGGTTGTAGACCATCGAATTGAGAACACTTATTGTTCATCGTGTATCGAGGCATGACGACTGATGAGTTACACATGTCAATCAGGTCACCTCTAAGCTTAACTAGTAGTGAAGCTAGAGATATCAAAGAAGAAGTGATGAGAAAATAGAACATTACCCCGATTTCTGGAGTGGATTGGATGGGCGTAGTTGAGCCAGTGTCACTGCTACAGTAGGAAGCAGCACTCTTGCCAGATGCAGTGTCAGTTTCTTGATCCGACTTTGTTTCTGCATCTTCCAAGTCATTCCTTGCATCATTTTCCGCAATAGTGTTTTCATCTTCCACATTTGCATCCCTGGTGCAAATAGTATATGTGAATGTAGAATGTATTTCAGTGTTGATTCTTGAGGCACTAGAAACTAACTAAAACAGAGTTTAGTCACCAAGTTCAGGTTAATAGTTACAGACCTGAGGTGCTTGATTGGTGTTAGGCATTGAATCCTTGACTGTAAATGAAAGAAATCAAAGGAGATAAGTCAGTCATGAAAGTTTCAGAGGGCGATATATATATTATAAGGAGCCGGCTTAGCGAGAAATTTATATAAGGTAGGTCCAATTAGAAAAAAAAAACACAAGGCATGTTTGAGGATGTATTTTCATATTATGAATTTTTTTTAAACATATATTATTCAAAGTACTTGGAATCTCATTCTTAAGGTATCTCACAAAAAAAAATAGTGTTCCAGTACTCATCTTATTCTCAAACGTTTCTCTATATTGTGAGAAATTTTACAATGCTATATAGTATTGGTGCTATAGGTTTTTGCCTTGATGGTATAACTTAAAATTGTACATTTATATTATGGTACAACTTTAGATTGTACCTATACTTTTTGTACAAATTCTTTTATGGTACAACTTGAACTTGTACATTTATGTGATGGTACAACTTCAAGTTGTAAAGTTGTACCATAACATAATGGTACAAATTGCTTTATGGTACAACCTAAACTTATACATTTAATGTTATGGTACAACTTTGAGTTGTACATTAAAGCACCAATACTATATAGCATAGTAGAAGTGCTCATATATTGTTTGTTGCAGTAAATGCTTGTTTAACACTTGCAATGACAATTGGTAGCAACATATGACACTAAGTTTTAAGTTTTTCGTTTATATTAAACTCGTTTAAAAATATATCAATTGGAAGTTAAATAGATATCACAAAATGTTGTTTTTCTGTAAAACTAATTACAATAAAAGTGAGATCTTGTGTTCAATCCACAGTCACCTAAAAAAAATTACTACAATGTTTTTTGGCAAGGTGATGTAAAAGACCTCCCTTACCCCAAGTTGCTCCACCACTCGGAGCGTATGAATAACTCACTCTACTCAACCTCGTGCAATATTCCATTAACTACCATTCATTCCAAATCAATCTCGATTATACTTAATTCACTTTATCGATAACTTTAAATGGAACATATCTCATTCATTTTATTCGGTTTTTTATTTTAAATTGAAAGAACACATTAATTGAATGCCATAAAATGATATTTATTTTGATATATTTTTTAAGTTCATGTTTGTATTGCGTCCTACGCACATCAACGTCCCTACAACAGGCCCTTACCACCCCTACAAAGTACCCTATGACAATACGAAAGGCCCCTACGACCACTTATGACTTCTATGTGAGGCCTCTACGACCCTTGAAAAAATGACCACAAATTTTTATTTCAAAATTTATCAAAGTGGATATTATTGTGTAAATTATAATCAATATGTTTTATCTCTGCAAAATTTTCTAGAAATCCAAATCAACATGAAAACAATACGCGTCTATAAAAAAAGTTCTTAGGAAAAAAATACAATTTGATTACAATCATGAGATTGATCCAAGGGTTGAAATTTAGTTATGAAGTGGTGACTGAACATACTCTTATATTATATAATATTTCTTGTTGGTTAATGAAAGTATCATTGGAACTAGCACTAAGAGGTGGTTTGGAAGAGTTATTAATTTGTTTGACAACACTTTATTGGGATTAGTTATTTTGGTTGTGAGTGATTTCCAAATAACTAAGAACGACTTATTTTAAAATAACTCGTTTTATCTCTATGTTATTGCCAAATACCACAAGCAAATGGTTAAGTCAAACGAGATACGAAAATACCCCATGAGCAATTAACGAATTATTTGACTCTCCAAATGCTATATTAACAATTAATTCATCCAAACACCTCCTAAGTCTTTTAAGTTATGTCAAACAAATGAATCCTGTACTTTTGGACTGGTCATTCTACTATATTCAGTTCAACAAAAAAAAAAAAAAAAAAAAACCTCTTTCATTACTTATCTGAATACAAATTCCATTTATCTACTAGGGAGGCACACCTTTGTAAGAACCAAATAGACAGAGAAAGGAAAAGAAGGGACCTGAAGAACAGTGCCATAGTCGCATTTCTTCAAAGGGAAGGAGACCAAAATGGAAGAACCCGAGCTCATGTAACTAGCCATGTTAACGGTCGCCTCGCCAAGAATCCCAGATCTTGCCGAACCCTGATATTATATTAACCATTATTAGAAACTCCACATTTGGAAGGAAAGAAGAAGGAGAAGCCCGTAATTAATTAATTAATCAAGGGAGCCTTCTTGATTAGTTAGAAACATATTATATATAGTACCATGGCAACAACAAACTTGAAGACGCAATCCTCGAGCTCCTTGGAAGAGTCGTCGGGAGAAATCCAGACGGATTCGGCCAACGTCTCCTTCCATTGGCAGCTCCCATTGTTATTGTTAACCACGGCTTTGCTCAGCCTCGCGATCGTCTTCCCAGTTTCCACCGATATCACCGTCACGTAGAGCTTGTCCCATCCTCTTGGCACCTGCAAACACATACCACAAGAAGTTGTTTTTTTTATGTGAAAGAAGAAGTAAAAAAAAAAAAAAATTAAGGTAGTTTTTTGTAATTTCCGTGATGAATATGTAATTTTAACAAGTTATAATTCGTTTTGCGACTAATTTACTAGAAATTAGTCACCGGTTTCAAATACAGGTTATATATGGTTGGTTGTAAAATGTTGTACTTTGGAATCCATCCAATTTATAACTTAGAATTATTGCTAGAAAAAATAAAATTATTATTATATATAGCTTATACCAAAATAATGTGTTATTTTTTTATATTGGTTGCAAAATAAATGTTGTTTTCGTGATTGGCTTTGTTATGATATCAGAAAAGAAATGAAACATATTACATGTAAGAGCAAAATGGCAACATTATCGTTGAGAAATGACCCTTCTAATTTTTTGTTTTTTGTTTTGACAAAGAACAACATATATATGAAAATGTTTACATTGCCAAAAATCTAGACCAAATGACTCTTTTCATAAATAGACGAAAGAAACGAGGATTTTGGTGTGGTGGTTTCAAATGAAAATGGGACTATACATCTAGTCTGAAGAGAAGGAAAAGATTGGGAAACTGAAGTTAGTTTAGTTAAAACAAGTAGAAAGGATTTTGGATTAAAATTTGTAGTTGAGGAGTGGGGGGTTTGTTGGCTTATGAATGAAGTACCTGGAGAGCTTTGAAATGGGAGATGTTGAAGTCGATCCGCTCCCCTAAACATAACCTCTCCGACTTTATCTTGTGCAGCCTCAACATACTCCAATCTCGATCTTCTTCTCTATTGCTTTGCTTTCCAATGCCGCCCAATGCCAGCAACTATCTTCTTCTTCTTCTTCTTCTTCTTCTTCTTCTTCTTCTTCTTCTATGTTACGTTGTTGGGGAATGGCTTATCACGGTTGATCCATCAGAAACTAGAGAGCATAGAACGAGCGACATGACGAAATCATTATGTCCAGCAGCTTGCTTGTTTGCAAGCATTTATGCCCGGTGAAGCAATTTGGGAACTCCGTAGAGAGAGAGAGAGAGAGAGAGAGATTAGGGGAATGGTTGATGAGAAAAAGGGGGTGTCTTAAAATTAAATTATAGAGATGATGGTAGGCCTGGTCTGGTCTCATGATTATGGACAGCTCTGGACTCGCTCTTGTAAGTAATAATAAGAAGATATTATTATACAAAAAAGCAGTGGCGGATCCAGAACACAGAAGTGCACTGGGCCGCATTTTATTAAAAAATTAGAATAGTAAAAAAATATAATGATTATAATTTTTTTACAATGTAAATTGTACACGACGGTATTTTAATTTAGCGAATGCATTAATAATGGAGTCCACATCCATACCAATAGTATACACTGTTTCAAATAAAATACTTGAGCAATCAACTAGAAATCCATCGCTCATTTTGTTGCGCAAATCAATTTTCACATGTTTCGTTGTTGAAAAGGTTCTATTCGTATTAGCTGTTGAAACGAGCAGCATCGACACTAGACAAATCAATCTATTATTATACAAAAAACTGAAAAAGGTATTTGGTCATTGGGCGCAATGTGGTACAATGGCGCGCGGCTTACTTAGTATTACTCGATCGATCGATCTCACTGCATGTGTTTTAACCGTACCCTCTTCAGCCCCATTCTCATTTTCTTCTTGTTGCTCCTTCCTGGTTCCTGCCTTTGTAAACGTCTCGGCCGGATATGCTACACACTTACTTGTAACCATCCAATGCACCCCAAATCCAATGATCTCCAAATACACCACAGTTCACAATCCAATTTTAATTAATCTTTCTCCGTCTAGTCTATGTATTCAAATGATAGATTTTATTCTTATCAGATCAACACGGTGAATGATGTGCCTACCTACGCTTTGACGAGTTATTAATTTTTATCCTGATTAATAGAGTTCTAATTTGCACCATCGGTTGGGCGCTGAACGCGATGTCATAGCACGCTTCTTCAAACAGTACCAAGAGCTTGTCTAATGTCTATATAGGTAATTTGTGTCAAAACTCATAAGTCACAAGTTTAATCTTACTATGGTTCGATTCTCGTTTGAGAGGCGTGCAAGGAAAGACTATAAATCATAGATATTTTCCAAAATTGGAGTGACAAAAAAAATTAAGTTCAATTTTTTTAATTCTTTAGAAATTGGAATAAATACATGTAAGTCCAAATAATTGACAAGAAAAAAAAGGCTAAGAAACAACGGAAATTAGTATGGCGGATTACAAGTGGGAAGCGTTGTTGGGAGTCGTTGTGGTCGAGAATGGGATAGGGACTTCTTCTTTGGTTACAATTTTAGACGGCTTCTTTGCATTGCATGCTTTCGGCTATTTCCCTTCCTTGATACTTTTTGGATTTTATAAAACAACCAATTATCTCTTACCGAATCAACCAATAACAACATCTGTCGTCTCCTCTCCGATCCTTCCCGCCAATTTCAGAATTCCCACTCTCTGTTTAATTTTTTTTTCTTAATGCCTATCGAATAAATTATCGGCAAAACAAAGACGAAGGAAAGAATTTACCGTCGCCTCGTAAAATGTCATTGTAGCCTCCGATAATTAGTAGTTTCTCCCTTTTCACCCCAAGGAAAATTACAAAAGGCTTAATTTTGTACAAACTTAAAAGTTGTCGCTTTCGTCTTCTTGTTATTATAAATAAACAACAAATAAAAGGTACCGTATAATCCTATCATGATTTTGCTTGTCACGCAGTGCACTGTACTTTCTTCACAAAACAAAATAAATGAAAACAAATTAGGATGTTGGATTGCAGTGCGATTGAAGTTTTGGTTATTGCGAGGAGTCATCATGAATCCACCAAATGGGGTCTTCAAACAGAGTAAAAAAGGAATCCACCAATTGGGGTCTTCAAAGAACGTAAAAAATAAATGGACTCACTTTGATGAAAAATAAATTGCTAAAACACTTGTAATTCTCATAGTTTTTTAGTCAAACATTCAACTGTTTTTTTTAAATACTTATCTAAAAGCTCCAGTTAGAAGTTGCTTCTGCGAAAGTTACAGCATGGCCAAACTAATACTATAAAAGAATTGGAGGGTTTATTGTCGGTGGCTTCGAATGCGATCATAAATAACAGAGTGGGAGGATTGACCAGTAGTAGTAGGGGTGGCTATACGGTCCGGTCCGGTTAAATTGGTTCAAATTGATCCGGTCCAATCCGGTCTTTTTGAAAATATAAGGACCAAAGATTGTATTGGAAACAGTCCGGTCTTGATCCGGTCCGGTCTCAACTCGATCTTCATTTTAGATTGAGCTTATGGGGATTTGAGTGGCCTAAGGCCTGAAAGGGTAAAGTTGGTTAAGTTTTGTACTAAGTGCAAAGGTTTGTGACCATTTATGCAAATTACCCTTAAGTTTTGGGTGTTGAGATCTCTTATCCGGTCTTTATCCAGTTTTCGATCTGGTCCCAAATGGTTTTTTACCTCAATGAAAAATAGATGTCACGGGAACTACCGAATATTAATATATAAATGCTAACATTAATATTAATTTAATATATAAAAGCTAATGTTAGAGTTACTATATTCATTAGTGTCTCCAAAACTCCTCCAAGAGCAAGTGGAGAAATTTCACGTCCTTCTTTTACCCCCACTCTCTCATTCTGTGATATGTGTTCATCTATTGTCCGTCGGGTCTACATCTATTAGACATTATGTTTCCCATAATAGTTAGTTATTGTCTACCTAAGGTTTCGTCTATTGTTCATTGTTTTCCCTGTTGTAGCAATTATCAATTAGGTTTTTGTCTAGGATCTTTTAACCAAATCATCGCCTTGGCCCACCAATTCGCAACCCATCTCGAAAGACTATCGACGAAATCAATGAAAAATAGATGTCACGGCAACTACCAAATGTAAATATATTAATATTAATATTAAAAGTCTAACATTGGAGTTACTATTTATTAGTGGCTCTTAAACTCACCCAAGTGCAAGTGGGTAAGTTTCAAGTCCTCTCATGCCCCCACTCTCTTACATTGGAGTTTCTATTCATTAGTGGCTCCCAAACTCCTCCAAGAGCAAGTATGGAAGTTTCAAGTCCTTCTATTATCCCACTCTCTCATTCTATAACCTATGTGTTCATCTATTATCTGTTGGGTTTACATCTATTAGCCATTAGGTTACCCATAATAGTTATTATCTAGCTAAGCTTTCTTTTATTGTTCATTGTTTTCCCCGTTGTAGCAATTATCAATTAGGTTTTTGTCTATTATCTTTTAACCAAATAATCACCTTGGCCTATTAAGTCACAACCCATCTCGAAACACTATCGATGAAATCAATGAACAATAGATGCCACGGCAACTACCGAATATCCATAAAATATCTATTATGCACAATCCTCGCCTCCTTCCACTAATTCACAACCCTTCTCTAAACAATGTAGGTGGAATTTGTACCCATCCACCGTCTCTCAATACCGCTACTGAAAATCTATACTAAATATGCTATGTGTTGTCGAGTCCAATTGGGATCGAGTTTCATATTCGTTAGTGTTTTCATATTTCTCTTTCTCCTTTTGCTTAAGCATGACAATTAAACTCAAACTCATGGGTATCTAACCTAATTCGACCAGGTTAAAGCGACTCGAACCCAACATGAGTATTTTTAAATTTCTATTTTTACCTTTCGTTGAGAATGACAATTCAACCCAAATCTATGGTATTGACGAGTTTTGTATTATGAGCAAGTTTTATCCGCTTTTGTAGTTAGTAAGTTGGGTTGAGTATGAATTTGTTAAGAACTCTATTATACCAGGTCAAAGCGAGCTGAACGAGTTTTGGATCAAGAGTTAGTGTTGTCCGCTTAATGGTTTTTATTTTTTCTTTTTCTTTTAGATGAGAATGATAATTGAATCCAGACCCAGTGCTAACGAGTTTTGTATCGAGAGTGCCTATTATTTGCTTTAGAATTGTATGTTGATTCGAGTGTAAATTGTTAAAAACTCGGTTCAAACCAGTCAAGGTGAGTTGACCTCTATGTGTAACGTTTTTTGTATGGAGTGAGTTTTATCTGCTTTAGTATTTTTTATTTATCTTTTTCAGTTTGGTTGAGCACCCAAACCTATGGGTATCCAACCTATTCAATATGATCAAAACAACGTGAACCCGGTGTTTACAAATTAAACATCTAAATCATTTGCTTGACGACCCTTCTGTTAGAAACCCGTTTGGGCTTGGGTCGGGTTAGACAGGGCTCGGCCCCTTCCTTGTATTTTTTGGTTCATTAGCTGTTGAGAGGCACTATTTAAACCTTGGATTAGTTATTTTTCATATTAATCAAGAAGAATATTAAAACCTAAATCTATATCTCTCTATAGTTCTTACCCAATTCCTCTCAAATTCCCAATCCCTAACCCTAATTTTTGTTCTCAATTCTTCTTCATCTAACCCCAATCAAGCGGGTTTCTTACATTGGTATCAGAGTCTAGTTACGATATGAGTTGCACCAAACTCTCAATCGGGGACTTCACGCACCAGCTGCGGAGGGACTTCGTCCTAGTCCTCGACGAACTGGAGCAGAGGGTGGGGCGAGAAGAACCGCCGGTGATCGAGGCGTCCGAGGCAGCGATCGGCAGGGGCGAACCGCCTGTGATCGAGGCGGCTGAGGCGGTGATCGAGGAGGTAGCGGTGGTGTCGGCGGAGGCAATGGCCAGAATCGCCTCAGCTAGCACCACACGGTTTCGAGTGACGGTCAATGGGAAACCAACGATCGCCCTGGTAGACAGCGGAGCCTCGTTGAACTTTAGTGGGGAAGGATTCGCGGCTGCACTGCAGGAGGAGGGAAAGAAGGTGAAGCCCATCACTGTGAGAGCCGCGAACGGCGCAGCGCTACATTGTGATCGACAACACCAGGGCGTGGTTCTCCGGAATCAGGATGTGGAGAGCAGGGCGGATCTGAATGACTGCCGATACAAGGTTTTGAGGTGATTTTGGGAATTC